TCAGATGTGGTAGTACTCAACATCGGATTAAAGAGTATCTTATAAATAAAGAGCATATCAAACCAACAACTCAAGGAAGAGTATATGTCATTACAGAGCGAGATGCTCAATCCGCTCAGGATGTAATCCAAGGTATGCTCACTATCTCTAGTACCTTGGCTAAAGTTTTAATAGACCCAGGATCTACACACTATTTTGCATTAATGAGTTTGCTCAACATCTGAACATTGAACAATCACCTTTAGAATATGTATTAGTAGTCTCTACCCCAATCAATAAGGACTTGACCACTAGTACAGTCTGTCGAGCATGTATTATAAAGATTGCCAACAGAGAGTTACTGGTAGATCTTATACTCCTAGACATGCATGATTTTGATGTAATACTAGAAATGGATTAGTTGGCAGCGTACCATGCCAATATAAATTATCATGGAAAGACGGTTACTTTTAATATTCTCAATGACAAAGCCTTCAAATTCAAAAAGATTAGGGAGCCCAAATATCCATGTCTCATATCTTGCATTCAAGCTCAACGATTACTTGAGAAGGGATGTACAGGGTATTTGGCTTACGTAGTGGAGAATAAAAATAGAGAAGTCAATCTATGACAGATACTAATGGTGAAGGAATTTTTCGATGTTTTTCTATAAGATCTTACAAGTTTACCTGCAGACCGAGAGATCGAGTTCTTCATTGACTTAATTCTTGGTACGAGTCATATCTCTAAGGCTCCATATCGAATGGTGAAAGCCAAATTAGAGGAACTCAAGAAATAATTGTAGGAATTATTGGATAAGAGTTTCATCAGACCAAATGTATCACCGTGGGGAGCTCTAGTACTATTTGTGAAGAAGAATGATGGTACCATACAACTCTGTATCGACTAAAAGCAACTAAACCAAGTTACCATAAAAAATAAGTATATGTTGCCTCGTATCGATGATTTATTCGACCAACTTCAAGGAACCCAAGTATTTTTAAAGATTGATCTACATTCTGGATACCATCAACTAAAAATTAAGAAAGAGGATATTCCCAAGACTGCCTTCAAAACCATGTATGGCCATTACGAATTCTTAGTCATGCCGTTTGGTCTAACAAATGCTCTTGCAGCATTTATAGATTTGATGAACAAAATCTTCTAGTCATTCATAGATAAGTTTGTTATCGTCTTCATTGATGATATACTGATTTATTCACAGAGTGAGGCTGAACATGTGGAGCATTCGCAATAGTGCTTGGGATACTTAGGAAACAGATC